CCGCCGTGCCGTCGTCGGCGCGGCGGGGGCGCAGGAAAGTGCGCTGAATAGGGGCCACGGGCGGAAGCGGGGCGGGAGCAAGCGGGAAGGGGGTAGGAGGGCGCCGCCGGCCGCGGCCCGCGCACCTTGACGCCGCGCCGCGCGTCCCCGAGCAGCACGCGGCCGCCCTCTGTGCCCATCACCAGCAGCCCCCGCCCCGGCGGCGCCTTGATCGCCACGACGCCCTCCTTGGCCACGTCAGCCTGCCGGGATGGAGGGGCGAACCATGCGGCGTGCATCATTTGCCGATGGAAGCAGGAAGGGTGCGAGCCGGCGCGCCGCGGGGGCCCGTGGGCCGACGTGCGGCGCAGGAGGGGGGCCAGGGCGGGCCGCAACACGCGTGTGGCACATGGCACTAGCCTGCAGTCTGTTCGACCACCCCACCCCCCCCCCAGTATGTATGTGTATGCTTACCAACACGCACATTATTCGACATCTACACGCACCCAAGATCAACCATATAAAGATGCACACACATGTGTAGTTGTGTATCAATGTTCACTTTGCACGCACATGTACTCATAGAGGCAGCGAGGTCTCGGGCCCCGACTCTCCTCACCCCACCTGGCCCGCCCTCTTAGATCCAACGAGGTCCACGGTGGTGACGCCGCCCCCGCTGCCGCCCACCAGCACGCGGCTCTGGCCCTGGCCCGGCTCAAGCGCGCAGCACAGCCAGTCCTCCTGCGGGGCGGCTCGGAGGGACGCGGCGCGGCGCGGCGTTTTGTGCGGGGTGCGGGGGTCCCCGGTGGGTGTGCTAGGGGCCAGGCGGGGAGCGAAGCTCGCGCTGCTGCTGCAAACTGGCTGAGATGCGGGCGAGCCCGCCCTCGCCCCCTGCGCCAGGCGTCGCCAGGGGGGCCGCCAGGTCCCACCTCTGGGGCCGCCGCCGCCGCTGCCGCCGCCGCGGCATCCGCGGCGCCCTTCCTCGGCCGCCGCTCCATCCGCATGCGCGGCACGCCGCCCGCCGTGTGCAGCGCGAGCGCGTCGGATGACAAGGAGAGCGCCGCGGCCTCGCCGAGCGGCAGCAGGGCGTGGACGCAGCCGGGGTGGGCCTTCCAGAAGGCGTAGGGCTCGAGAGTGGCGGCCTGGGTTGTGTACACCATGCCGCTGGCCGCGCCTGGAGGGGTGGGGGTGGGGGTGGCGTCCGTGCATGTGCATGTGCATGGTGAGAGTGCACGTGCATGTGCATGTGCATAAGTGGATTTGGGTGCGTTTGGTGCTGCGAATGGCAGAGAGGAGGGGACGGGTGCGAGGCCATTCCGCATTGCTGTTGAGAATAGAGTTGATGCATGTGGGTAGGATGTGCGAAGCTGCATGGCGGGTCCCTGAAGTGGATGGGATGGCAGCAA